CTATAACCTGATTTGATGTATAAATAGACTAACCTGAACTCTTAAAATGAACAGCTGAATCTTGGCTAGTCACAAGTGGCCAACTCTTTAAACCATGTTCAAATCAGGCAAATGAAAGTGAGGTTGTAAGCCGTCACTACCTCACTTCCATTTTCTATATGTCACTTCTTGTTTTCTGGCTATAAATAACCTTAGTCCACACTGCTGCTGGAGTCTTGAAGCACAAATAAAACCAATTAAATCTACAACACTAGATGTGTTGCAATTTATTTTTAAAACATTTCATTGGAAAATAGTTGCCTATTTTTTTTCTTTTGGTACCAAAGATTGAACTCAAGGGCACTTGACCACTGAGCCACATTCCCAGCCCTATTTAATATTTTATTTAGAGACAGGGTGTCACTGAGTTGCTTAGTGCCTCACAGTTGCTGAATCTGGCTTTGAATTTGTGATCCTCCTGCTTCAGTCTCCTGAGCTGCTGGGATTACAGGCGTACACCACCATGCCCAGCAAGAGTTTTTTTTTTTTTTTTTTCCAAATCGCTTGCTTGGAACATAAGATCCATAGAGTAAATAATTAGTTATTTTCCATAATTGAACCTTTAAGTCTAGCCTGGCACCTAGAAGGTATTCAATAGATATTTGTTTAATTAATAAATGCTATACTGTCCAGAACATATACCTATTCTCTAGTGCTGCCTACTTCTTTTAAATCTTCAGATATCATTTAAAGTCATGTATGGTGGTATTTCATGACTCTCTAGAACATGATAGGTCATTGAAAACTGCATATTTTTGACACATTGAATTCAGTCATTTTATGTATTTGATTAATGTGAGTCTATGAAGGCAGGCAGTACAACTATTACCTCTGCCCCAACCTATCATTGTGGTCCAGCTTCCATGTTGGCAGACAGATAAGTGATGCTCAATATATTTACCGACTGCATAAATTATGATAGAGTTTAATATCACATTAATTCTAATTCTTAGATAAGTCCCTGCCTACCATTCAAACCTTTTCAAGGGTCACTCTTCAATTATCAGTGTTGTAGCACAGTTGCCCCTCCATCCTCCTTCCTTGAGGATACTGTACTCACCTGATTTACCATTTTCCCTTCCTAGAAATTCTCCCTACCTCCACCACAATTCTCTACACACCCACTTTATCTGGTTTTCTCCAATATATTCTTTAGATTCTAGTGGAAACATCACTTTCCTCAGGAATAATTCCTTGCCTTCAAACTTAAGATTAACTTTCTATCAAAAATCATTCTTTTCCAGGGGGGCTAGGGATATAGCTCAGTTGGTAGAGTGTTTGCCTCACATGCACAAGGCCCTGGGTTCAATCCCCAGCATATCTCTCTCTCTCTCTCTCTCTCTCTCACACTCACACTTACACTCACACACACACACTAAATAATTCTTTTCATTCAGAAATATATTGTGTCCATTCTAAAATATTTGATCATTTTCACTAGTATAATTTATGAAAATTTTATAAATGCAGTTACAGGAAACAAGCATGAATAAAATAATTATTGCTTATTAAGAAGTATTGTTTTACCAAAGCTTATTTCCTGTAACTGATCACATGTATCACAATAGTCATCAGTTCCACAATGCCTACTATGGTAATTGTGAATGACAAAGTTTGCATTTGTTCTAAAAGATGGAGCCTGTGAAATGGGTACCATTGATCCAAGGTTCTGAGGAATGTCACAGGCTTGCACATTACTCCTCACAACCAATGGGGATAGTGACATTTTTTTTCTCACTACTTTATCCATTACAGTGCACTGGGCATTATAAGAACATAACAAGTAATTGTTTAGGAAAATGAAAAAGAATGGAATGTGAAATGCTTAGAAATATGATAATAAGCTCCAGGAATGAAAACTCTACATAAATTATCATTCTCAGGTACTTATCTAAAAATAGTTAACTGGCATTTGTTTATAAATCAGGCCTTATGGACAGTGATATTCTGGAAACCTCTAAAGTTAAGGACAAGGCTTTGACCCTGTGGTGACATTGCTGAGGGGAAGGCAGAATCTCCAGGAGAAAGAAACAAATTAATTTAAAACAGATTGTACTTTTCAGAATATTATTCTTCATAAGCTGTGCTGCCTTTCAGAATCCCTAAGCATATGTTCTAACCCATCTTTTTTTTAAGCCTTCTTTTAAAAAGACTTCTAAGGTTTTAAAATTCAAGAAATTCTATAATCAGAGTTCATAGAACTAAATGAGCACATGTAAAGATTCTATGAGATTAACTTTTAGTTCTATCATAGAATATTAAGAATACCTCTCTCCCTTATCTTACTAAATGAAGAATTTGCCTTCCTAGTTTACCTTTTTTTAAAAAAAGAAAGAAGGATGTCAAATTAAATCACTGTCTCTGGGTATCTTTTTTGAGCCTCTGAATGGTTTATCAACTGAATTGGAACAAAAGAGAGCCAGGCACTATAGTGACTTGGGAGGCCATAGAGGAGAAAGAAGGCATGGCATGAACATTCTTATTGGGAGAGAAAGTAGGAATGACCAGGTCTTATTCTGAAAAAAGATCTCAAGGATCCATTCTCAGGATTCTCCTAATTTTATTTTCTTGTATGGGTCCATATGTGAGTTTCTCCTCTTTATAATAATTCTTCCAATTACTTCTACCAGATTCCTTCTAAAATCACATGAGTTTTTATCACATGTCCAAGATAACTGTGTTGCTTTTAAAGGGACTTTAATGTATTTACCCTTTTATTCTTTGTTACCTTTCTTATTCTCCCCCTCCTCCATCATATTCTCTTTCTCTTCATTTTAAGAATTAAACTAGGTAAAATGAGATTATATCCCTTGAAAGAACCTGAGAAAGAATCACCTATATTTCACAGTCAAATGAATGAAGCATTTCAGGGTAATTCCAACTGATGGTTTAAATAAAGTATGAAATCAAATACAGATTCTTTAGGATTGAAGAACTGATGAAATATAAATAATGAAAAATTTGTAACAGAAGTTCTCTATTTAATCCCTTATAGTATGTATTATAATTAACATATTAAGTGTACAAACTGATAGGATTCACTGATATCTCCATACATATATATGTATACATTGTT